AGTAGAATAAGTACTTGCCTGGCAGGCAGAAGGGTCTTGAGTTCAGTCCCTGGTTCTGCCAAAAAAAAAAAGAAAAAGAAATGTAACACTTCTTTGTAGCATTCCAAATTGTTTATTTTGCCTGTTTTGTTTATTTTTGTTGTTTGTTTTGAGACAAGCTCTCACTATGTTGCCCCCCAAACTGGCCTTTAAAGACTCACTGTGCTCCTGCGGTAGCCTCCTGAGTATCTGGGTCTATAGGCATGTGTCACCATGTTAAAAATGCAACATCATTTTATAAAAATTAGAAGGGTATATACCATTAAATGGAAGACTAGAACCTATGAAAAGGCTCAGAAATAGAAAATTATGTAGAGGGCTGAGGTCATAGTACACCAACATCTTTCAGTGACCTAAAACATGAACAGAAAAATTGAATGACAAGCAACTTGTAACCTTGCTATATGCTTTTTCTACTGATAAATTTCCTCATAGTGTATCCCTTTATTTATTCTACTCTTTTCCAGTGTATTTCAGTAGTGCTCTTTTAAAAACCTATTTTGTTGAGGTCAAGTTGACATAAAGTGTATGTCCATCTTAAGTGTACTTTTGAATAAGTTTGTTTTTTTGGTTTTTTTTCCCCTAGGACAGAGTGTACAAAGGTCTCACTGCATAGATTGGACTTGTAGTGATCCTCCTGTTCATAACCTCCTAAGTGCTGGGATTACAGGTGCACGTCACCATGCCCAGTCTCATCTCAGCACTCCCCGGGGACGGGGCCGGCACAGCAAGCCCCTGTGTCTGCCTAAGCAGGCGCTTTAATCCACTGAGCTATTTAACCAGCCCTTTGAATATGTCTTGACAAATTTATTTACTCATGAAAGTACTAGCACAGTCAGTATATAGAACATTTCCCATAGAATCTCCTAAACCCAGACCTATGTGACCTTTTTTCCCCTTTTTCTTTTTCTACACTGCTAGGGATAAAACCCGGGATTTTGAGTATACTAGGCCACCAGTCTTCTACTGAGCTACATCCCCAGCTCTACGTAATCTCTTATTCCCTGTGATCTTCACTACCTTCAGAGTTTCATTAGTTCATCAAATGCCTACATACTAAGCACTGTACAAATGCTGCAGGTACAGGAAGAAATAAAATCATTTTTGTCCTGTAAGAATGCTTTAAAAGGGGCCGGGGAGATGGCTCAGTAGAATAAGCGCTTTCCTGGCAAACCCAAGTGTCTGAGTTCAATCCCCGGTTCCGGGGGATTAAAAAAAAAAAGAATGCTTTAAAGACTCGTGGGGGGGGGGGGCTGGTGAGATGGCTCAGTGGTCTAAAGCACCTACTTAGAACAAATTTAGCAAAGCACAGGGACCGTAGTTCAATCCCCCAGCACCACATGCCAGTCAGCCCTGCCCCCTTGTGGGATGAGCTGGCCACCCACACACACACACAAATAAATAAATAAAATTAAAAAAAAAAACTCATGGGGAAGAAACAAAAAGAAAACAGTCATTTATATAAACTTATAATACAGTAAGTGCTTTACAGAGTCTGGAGGTGTAGCTAAGTGACAGAGTACTTCCCTAGCATGTACAAGGCTCTAGGTTTGATCCAAGCATTGTAGAAAAAGAGAGGGGGGCAAATACAGAATATTGTGGGAGCACAGGAAGGCCCAACCTTACCTAAACTAGAAGACAGGGTCTGGGGAGATAGCTTAGTAGGACAAGCACTTGACTGGCAAACGCAAGGATCTGAGTTCAATCCCTGGTTCCACCAAAAATAAATAAATAAATAAAAATTTTTACAAAACGAGAAGACAGTTAAGGAACCACTTTGAAGTGATCCCTAAGCTTAACATAAAGGGAATAAGGCACAGAAAGGGAGATTAGAATTGCAGACAAAAGGAATAACACGTAAAAGTAGCTATTAAATGCCCATTGTAAGAGATAGCATAAGAAAATGTTCATTTGTACTGTCATTCCAGTAATAATGGAGGGTGATTTTAAAAGAAAGTAGCAACAAATGGACTGGGGTGTAGCTTAATGTTAATAGCTCTAGATGAAGCCCTGCTCCCTTCCAACTCTCCCCAAAAGCAACAGATACAATGTATGGTATGTTTATTTGGTGATGGGAAGATTGGTTAATTGAAGGCTGTGAGTTATTTTTGCACACCATATGACTAAATAAAGTCCTAGATATTGGACTTCTTTCCTGTATGACCCTAGTTTTGGTACAAAATAGTTTTAAAACTAGTGATTATCCTCACTAGAGACTTGCTCTCTATTTTTTTGTTGTTCGTTTGGGTTTGTTTATGTGTTTGGTACAGTCTCACTACACAGCTCAGACTCATAGTGAACCTCCTGTTTTCAGCTTCCCCAGCATTGGGATTATAGGCATGCGCCACCACACCCCGTTTCATTGGCCACTCAGAGGGCCCGGGGCAGGGCTAATGGTACCAGGGATCACACCTGGGTCTTTGTACTTGCCAGACGGGCACTTAGACCACTGAGCTACTCCTGAGCCCCTCTATTTTTTGGAGACACATTATCTCCTTTGTAGTAGCTGGCCAGGCTGGCCTCAAACGCAACAATGATCCTCCTGCCTCAGCCTTCCAAGTATTGAGAATGTACATATGCACCACCATTCCCAGCTAGAAACTTGCTTTCTTATGGGTCTAGGTATTTAGCAAAGGGCTATTCAAAGGCTAACCATTAACCTAGAAGGAAAGTAAAAACGTTTCCATAAATTATCTCTGTAGTTAAAAGATACTTAATAAGCTGACTCTTTACTAGAGTTCTCATAGTTGCACATCATCTTGCTTGTTTCTTGCATGTCATTGGTGAGTCCTTTTTAAATACTCTCCCACCAGCAAAATTTTTTTTTTTTTTTTTTTTTTTTTGCTGAACTGGGGATTGAACTCAGGCCCTTGCACTTGCCAGGGAAGTGTGTATTCTACTGAGCTATCTCCAGATCCATGCACAGTTGTTCATGTCATATGTTTTAG